TGTGTGTGTGTGTGTGTGTGTGTGTGTGTGTGTGTGTGTGTGTGTGTCTGGGAGGGGGGGAGAACGGCCGCGAGGAGGGCGCTGGGCAGGCGGCGGCGGGCAGCCCCGGCACTAGGACTCGGCGCACCCTCAGCGGCTCACTGCACCTCCCGGTTACTGGCGCCGGCGGTCCCGGGCCATCTCTCTCCGTCATTACCGCTTAGGGTCGGCCGGGGCAGAGGTGCCAACTACAGGGCGGCAGCGCGAGCCGGAGGGAGGGGGGGCGAGAGGCCGTGTTCCGGTCCCCGCGGAGAGCGAACGCCTCCAGCACCTTCCCTCCTCCTGCTCCGCCGCCGCCTGCTCTCTCCTCCCCGCGCCCCCCCACCCCCCGCGCCCCGCCGCCGACTGGTCCTTCTCGCCATCTGCCGCTGCTACAGCAGCCGCCGCTCCACCAACTACATCAGAGCTACTCGGACGCAGCCGCCTTCTGGAAAGCTCGGCAGTTTCCGCCCAGCACTTTTTTTCAAGAGGATTAAAATTACCAGAATCAATGCAGGAGTTCTATACAATCGTTATCAGGAATTATATAATCACCAGTTCGTCTAAACAGCATCATTATATGAACATATGTCTTCATATTGATTCTGCAGGAAATATGCCCAACAGAGTAGGTTAAAACCAGGATGTGTTAGGCTATGTCAGATACATGAAGGATATAGGTGTGGCAGGAAAAGCATAGCAAAAAGCAATCCTAGGACGAAGTCTCTTGGGTCTGTGCCTCTTCAGAGCACACTCATTGCCACCATGCAAAACAGTGGGCCATCTCCAGGTAACTTGTTTGCCACGGCCTTTCTTGAATAGCTCCTACCATAAATGGGTGCAGGTGACCCATGTTCCAGGTGTTGTATACAACCTCCATTGTCATATGTATTTTAAGAAGGAATGAAAAATTTGTATCAGTGGTTCTTTTTATTTTACTGGTATTACATGGTCTGAGAAATTGAATTTTGGTAAGAGGAAGAAATAAGGGCAAAGAAATGAAGATTGAGTCAGTTAGTTTACATTCTCTGCCATACGATACATTTGCTGTAATATTTTTACTCTATACTTCATGTTCTAAATTTGCTTATCTGTAGACCAACTCATATTATTTGGAATTTGTTGAAATTTAATATAATGATCACTCTTTAATAATGAAATAAAAATTTTCAGGAAAAACACAATCCCCATTCGGAGTTTACTATTGAAAGCTTGGTGGCTACTGTAACTGATATGTTTGTAGCTGGAACAGAAACCACAAGCACTACCCTGAGATATGGACTCTTTCTCCTACTGAAACATACAGAGGTCACAGGTACGACTCTGAGATTTGTAAGACAAAGTTAGTCTACTTCAGATAGCCTGAAAAAAGTTTTAATATTGATGTTTTTGTGTCACCAGATGCCATTTGAACACATATGATGAGATACAAATGTGACCAATTTTGACAATAGAAAAAATGATGGAGAGAAGTACAGTTATTGTGAACATCAGTAAAACACCAGAGCTCAAAACTGAATAAAAATACAGTCTGGGTAGTCAGTCTTTTTCTGTCTCTGTCTCTTTTTCTGTTTGTCTCTGTCTCACTCTCTCTGTCTCCCTCTTTCTTTTTCTCAGTATTTCTCTTTGTCTGTCTGTCTGTCTGTCTGTCTAAGCGTGTATATGCATGTGTTTTTCAACATTTTGTGTGAAGTGGACATAGGACTCTATTTCATCTATAATGTAAAACAACTCAGAAATTATATAATTAAACAATAGAAATAGTTATTATTTACAAGTATGAACAGAAACTACAGACAAAACGTCTAGAATGTTTCAAAGTGAATGCCTTTGGAAAATGTCAGATGAAAAAAAGGATTCTAAGTTTCACATAAGCACAAACATTTAGTATTTAATTTAAAATCTTTATTATTTATTTTATGTGTATGGGTGTTTTGCTTACATGTATGTCTGTGGACCATGTGCATGCCTGGTGCTCATAGGGACCAGAAGAAGGTATCGATTCTGGGGCTGGAGTTATAGACATTTGTGAGCTACCTGTGTGCGCTAGGCATTAAATCTGGACCTTTGGAGGAGAAACCAGTGCTCTTAACCACTTAAATAGCTTTCCAGCTCAACAATTCAAACGTAAAGCATCAATATTATTTGATGTTAAATTAATTCTTGTTTTGTGTTTTTTCCCAGTGAGACATTAGAATTTACATGTACATATTGAAACATTTCATCATTTCTATGTGTTGATTATTCTATACAATAATGTACCTCTTTTCACAGATTAACCTTAATGCCTAAGTTGTGGGGGGAATTTGTGTGTTATAAAATAATAATTGTCTAATTCTAAATATGCATGTGGCCTGATACCTTAATGAGGTTTCATATAGATTTGAATTCCTGTGACAAATGTACCCTTTCTTAATTGTGTCCTATTAGCTAAAGTCCAGGAAGAGATTGATCATGTGATTGGCAGACACAGGAGTCCTTGCATGCAGGACAGGACCCACATGCCCTACACAGATGCAATGGTGCATGAGATCCAGAGATACATTGACCTTGTTCCCAACAATGTGCCCCGTGCAGCTACTTGTAATGTGAAATTCAGAAATTATATAATTCCCAAGGTAAGCTCATTCTTTTGACACTGTACTTCAGATATCTTGTAGCTTCTGAATTAAAAATATGATTCTAAGTCTACACCAACACAAAATGAGAAAGGCCGAATTCACCTTTTTACTATTGTATAGTGACCATCTTCATCTTTTTTTTCTAATTTTGCCTTAAAATATATTTTATCTAATTATGGTTACTTCTGCTTTATTTGGATTCCACTGCCTGTATCAACCTGTTTCATCTCTTTCAGTTTGTATACATCCATATAACTGAAATAAAATAACAATATGTCTGTTATTTTTGTTTGTTTGTCTGTCTTTTTAGTTGCTTGTTTGTTGTTGTTTTTTAAATTTTAACATTGAGTCTCTTGTGGTGTGTTTCTTTTTAATTTGAGAATTTCATCTTTTCAGAATTAGGCAATCATTGATAAACATTGGTTTCCAAGTGTCAGTTTTAGTCTAATTATGGCTTTTTAATTTCTCTTTTAAATGTTCTTCTGTGTTAATGTGATTTACTCAAAAACTGTGTTTTAATTCCTGATTTTTTTGGTGAATGTCTACTGTATATTTTTGACTTGTATAAGAAAACATACTTTAATAAATGAAATAACTAACAAAAATTAAAAAAAACATATTTTGATTTCTACAAGCTGTGTTCAAATGGCAACTTAACATGCTGATAAAGTTTAAAAAGACATAAATAAACAGCAACAAAAAAGGAAAAAGAAAATAATAGAAACTCTATATGTATACTCTATCCTAACCTACTTTTAATATTTGAGTCAATGTCTCACCATACTTCTGATGTGGTTCCCAGTCTTTTGAGCTCACATGATTCCTCTATGTCTGCCTTCTAGTGCTAAGCTACAGGCATGTGCCACCATACTCATGTGTGTTTTGAAAATTTATTCTTCCTGCATTTCTTTTTCTTTCTTTTTAGTGCTTTTTAGACTTTCTTTTATAGTCTTATACTGACTATATTTGAACATATATAAACGGTTATTAGGTTTTACTCCTTTTAGGTCATTCATAGTAAGGAGATGAATGATTTGCGTTTTACTCTTTTACAATGTTAGAGACTGTTGAATCATTCTGTGAGTTATTGTCACTTGTGAGCTCCATACATTCTCATGTTTTCCTTATAAGCTGATATCCCTTTCACTTTGCAGAACTCCCTTGAATTTTATTTAGGTCTGGTGGAGAGATAGTTTATTTTATTTTGTTTTTTTTTGAGGGAGGGGGAAACTTTATTGATCCCTCACTCTTAAAGAGCTACTTTCAATGGATATAGTCTTCTTTTTTATTATTCCATGAATGGTAATTTCTAAGATAATGAGGAAAAGCAGCCATGATAACACCACATTTCTTTCGTTGTTAAGCTTTACATTTACATTTATTTAGTGTGTGTGTGTGTGTGTGTGAGTGTGCGTGTCTGTGTGTGTGTAGGTCAGAGGATCATGTGTTTGAGTTAGTTCTCTGCTGCCACCTTCTGGAATCTGCGGATTAAACTCAGTTTGTCAGACTTGCATGCAAGTGCCTTTAGCCTCGGAGTCAACTTGCTAACACTTCCACTCATTAAATAACATACTTTTATCTGTTATTTTCAGGGTACAGACTTAATAACATCCTTGACTTCTGTGCTCCATGATGACAATGAATTTCCAAACCCAGAAGTATTTGACCCTGGCCATTTTCTGGATGAGCATGGGAACTTTAAGAGGAGTGACTATTTCATGCCTTTCTCAGCAGGTAAATAAGATGTATTTCTATTTGTACTTCAGGTATAAGACAGGCACTATGTTATTTTGGGTAACCCAGGATGCCTGAACTGAAGATTTTGTCTAAGCTGTCTGAATATTTGGCACTACAGACATTTGCTGTCAGGCCTGATTCCATAAGATACAACTTTGAGATAGAGATACAATGGATCATCTGGGATGTCATCAAGGATGGGTGCTTTTGCTCTTTGTCTTTCCTCAGGAGCAATTTTTCCAATGTCCGTGCATATTCCTTGACTGTGACATATCCTCATTAGTGGGACTTTGAGAACATCCAGCCTATTTTTTGAATCTGGAAAGCTAGAATATAGGTCATTTGAAATTTGCTTCTGCATATACTTCTATCCTTCCTATGCAGTTCTCATGGAAGTGAACTGCATTTACTTTTCTCAGCTGCATGAGAAAAGTATCTCAATCCATTCTTAGACAGCTCTGGGAACCCAAGTGCTTTAGAGAATATAATAGAGACTAGGCTCTGAGGAAACTTACTTCTGAGTTTGGGAAGCTGGTAGTCAACAGGGCACTGTAATCCAATTGGATTAGTGCTGTGAGAGAGGCAAGCTTGGGTTCCTGGGGAGGTCAGGAGTGAGGTTACTCACCTCCTGCTCTTTCATACTCACAGGACTATTCTGACAGGGCAGTGGAAAGTTGGTTAACTCACAGGGAGCAAGGAAATAAGACAATAAGAGGAGGGAGGGAACTGTTCCAGAAGTACAAAGTACAGAAGCAGACATGTTCTGCTGTTAGAACTTGACAGGAATGAAGACTGAGAAAGACCTTGGGCATGTGGAAAGACAGTGGTGATCCCAGAGCCTCTGGAGTTTTCTTTACCTTGGATGTTCAGTCTTACTGCTCCATTCTGTGCTGAGTCTCTGCACACAGAGTCACATTCATTTTTGACTTTTATGACTTTGATGTGGGTCTGCATTGTACATTCTCATATGTGACAGACTGAGCCCTTCCTTTTGGCAAACTCATAACTGGACGACACAGCACAATGTTCAAGTGGCCCATGTTACTGGGGAGGCAGGGATAGAGAGGAAGCCTTGGGGATCAGTGTCTCCTATCTCAGGAGACTATGAAGTATCATAAAAATAATGGCACTTTGAGTACTATATTGAATAGATAGGGAGAGAGTGGGAAACCTTATCTTGTTCCAGATTTTAGTGGGACAGCTTCTAGTTTCTCTCCATTTAATTTGATATTGGCTGTTGGTTTGCCATATACTGCTTTTATTATGTTTATGTATGTGCTTTGAATTCCTGATCTCTCCAGGATTTTTAATATGAAGGGCTGTTGTATTTTGTTGAAGGCTTTTACAACATCTAATGAGATGATCATGATTTTTTCCTTGAGTTTGTTTATATAGTGTATTCATTGACAGATTTCTGTATATTGAACCATCCCTACATCCCTGGGATGAAGCCTACTTGATCACGGTGCACATATGTAGTCAGTGGTCTGCCTGGTCTGGCCTCAGTGTGAGAAGTTTCACTTAAGTCTCTAGAGCCTTGAAGCCTCAGTGAAGGGGGAGGTCTAGTGGGGAGGACAGTGTCTTGGGGAAGAAGGAATGGGAAGAGGAACTGTTGGAGGGGGGACTGAAGGGTGGCAATGACTAGAATGTAAATGAATAAAATAATCTAAATTAAGAAAAAGATATGGCGCAGACTGTGGTCCTTGTGGAAAGTATCTGAGACAATTGTTGAGGCTTGAAGCTTTCCTTATGGCATTGCAGCATGGGGAAGGTAGCTATGAATGGAGCTGAGGAGGGTTGAGCCTGTCTTTGAACATCAGACAGGAAAGAAAATGTGAATTTCCAGGCCAAATCATTTCTATCTTGTCTCAGGGCAGATTCAGGGGATGCATTTAAAGTGAAGAAGTCATAGATATGGACAGGTAAATTTGAAATAGTCTGAATATAAATATATTTTGTGGCTTTTTTATTATTTTGCCATAGGCAAAAATGGAAAATAGTATCTGAATCATGTTAGTACCCCCTAGAGCCACTAAAGCAGTGAGATAAACAGGTTTCTAGAAGATTGGTGTCAACTTAAAAGCTCAAAGGGAAGTTTTAATGTAGGAATTGTTAGCAGAGCTTATAATAAATATTGAATAATGGTAGGTACCTGTCAAAACCAGATATTAAGTAGATAACATTTGTGTCCAATGTTATAGGCATCTCTGTTTAAAAGTCCTTGTATTCTTTCTGTATTTGACCCATCCACCATTAAGAATCAAACTTAACTGACTACATTTACAATAGTTTGGAACCTACTTTAAGGAGGGAAACCTCTGTGCTGTTTTTGTTTTTCAGGAAAGCGAATGTGCGTGGGAGAGGCCCTGGCTCGCATGGAGCTGTTTCTGCTTCTGACCACTATTGTACAGAATTTTCACCTGAAATCTTTAGTTGATACAAAGAACATTGACACTACTCCATTGCCCAATACATCTGGCTATGGACCACCTTCATACCAGCTGTACTTCATTCCTCGTTAAAGCAGAACACACGTGCTGCTGCTATACTGGTATCTGTGACTTCTCAGGGGGCACTTCCCACATCCTCTCCACTATTAGGGACATATCTCTCATTTCTCCTCTCACATCTCTTCATTCTCCCACAATCCATTGAACATCTACCTTTCTTAAGAAAGTTTCCCTGAGTTATCATGCAAGTCCGTCCACTGCCCCCTTGAGGCTGTAGCACTTGTATTGACTATGCACTGTACTAAGACATGTGCTGGGTTATTAATATGAGTGTAATACAGAAGAGTTCAACTGAGAGTCATCTTTGCTCTGGTTGATTCAAAATAAATGGAATTATTAATTAAGAGGTCATGTTGTTCTGGGTCACGGTGTCTGTTTTTGACAATACTAGACCACCACCAAGACTAATCTCTAGTATCCTGCTGTTGCCCAGCGTCTTCACATATTGTATCATTGTGACAATGCTTTAACCAATGATAATGCATCAAAATCTCACAGTTTGTCCCTGTGAATCCTCTACCTGTGAAGACCCAGTGGTTGTTCTTCCATCTCCACAGTCCTCCATGGAGATGTGGATGACTGGAATATCATCAAAATTGAGTTCATAGTGGTCTTCGAGGAATCCTATTGCACAGCCAGAGAAGTAAGCCCCAAGAACATCCTGACACATGGCACCATGTAGACATGGCTGCGATCCACATTTGTCACTTTCCAAATCACAGTTCACACCAGAATACTCTTTACAATCACATGTGTATACTCCTATCTCATTGAAGCATATATCCTCATCCATGGAGGGACCAGAAATACTTTGATCCACTTCCAAGTCACAATATTTATCTTGGTATCCAGGCACACAGAAGCAGGAGTAGCAAGTCATTGATTGCATCCTGGCACACAACCCCATTTTGGTAAATTCTGGAAGCACATTCATTGCGATCTGTCTCACAGGCCCTTCCAGCATATCCAGCAGGGCATATACAGATATGGTGCTCACAGTCTTTGTGGGATGGCAAACCATACTAAGAAGCTTGGTAGGCAGAGCAGGTCTGAGACTGCAGAGACTCAGACTGAGGTGCCTCCCCACTCCCTTTTAGATTCCTGGCCTGGAAGATGTACCATATTTCCAGGTAAGGAAACATGATCTATGGTCACATAGTCCCAGAACAGAGTTCTACATATTATGAGATACCTAGAGTCCCTGAGGATTTAGCAAATAAGCTCCCCTTCCCAGATATTCCTCCCTGCAAAAGGTATTTAATCTTGATTCCAACCTGAGACATTGGTATGCATCCATTTTCCACAATGAACAGTCAATAAATAGTTTAGTTCCATGAAGAACAGTCAATAAATAGTTTAGTACTATGGACTGTCTCTTTTATTAAGAATTTCCATGGAGAGTGTTGAGAGGGCATTCAACTACTGAAAGTTACAGCTCGAGACTCTGGAGAAGGCATCTTTGTGCTTCTAACCACAACCACATCCAACCTAAGGACAATCACCTCCAAGCTAAGCTAGAGTCCCATTACCACTCTTGCCTAGACAACATGCTCAGCCTGCTGGCCACAGACTCTACTCCTGACCCTTCTAAATTCAAGGATGCCTAGGTGTTCAGTGTGTGGGATCCTTCAGTCCCTGTCTCCTTGTGCCCTCATGGATCCCCAATTCTTGGTTCCCAACGCCTCTGATGCCTGCGTCTCTTGGGGTCTGGGAACCCCAATTCAGTTTCCTCCATCCAAGACTGCAGTTTCACAACCCATAGAGTGGTGACTCAGTGCTTCCCTAAAGCCTGGCACCCACCCCTGTGACACTGGGGAAACAGTCAAACTCTCCACATTTAGCCTTCCCAATGTCCTTGCCTAGCAGCTGGGCAAAACAGACCCACAGTCTTTATGGCAGGTGCCTCCATGTTGATAGTTGTTTCCTCTCCAGGAATTAGTGGCAATTTCACATTTCAGCTCTTTGTACCAAGGGGGACATTGGCAAAGGAGCCCTTTTCTTCTGGGGCATTCACACAAGTGGAAATTCCTTGGCAGGGACTGGAGAAGCAAGGGTCTTTTAGATCAGCGCAGTCTTTATCCAAATTATTGGTAGTGTCTAAGCAATGATTGCTGCTTTGTGGAAAACCCTTGTGCATAGAATTGCTTTGGCAAGAATTTAACAGACACCTGTCATAGTTTTTATGGCAAAATGAATCCTGGCATGTCAAGTCACTGCAGGACTAGGTAAATCCTCTCCTGCTGAGGACAACCAAGACAGCTCAGTTAGGGAAGCAAGAACCAGAGGAAGGGAACAGAGTCAAGGTTAGGTCCCTCTCCAGTTGTTGACAATACTGCACACCTGCTACATATGTGTGTGTGTGTGTGTGTGTGTGTGTGTGTGTGTGTTGGTCCAACCTTTGTATGCTCTTTGGTTTGCTATGGGAGCCCCCAATGGTACAGGTTAGTTCAATATGGTGGTCTTCTTGTGGAAGACCCTAACCCCTCTGGGTTCCTCAACCCTCCCACACCTCTTCTATAAGATTTCCCAAACTTAGTCTAGTGTTTGGTTGCAGCTCTCTGCTTTTGTTTTGGTTTAGAACCTCTCAGAGTGCAGTTGTGTTAGACTCCTGTCTGCAAGCATAACAGTGTGCCATCAAGAGTGTCAGGGATCAGTTCTTTCCCATAGGATAGACCTCAAATTGATTCAGTCATTGGTTGGCCATTCCCTCAGTCTCTATGACATCCTTGTCCCTATACTTCTTGTATGTGGTACAAATTTTGGGTCAAAGATTTTGTGGGTGGGATGTTGTTTTTATCTTTCCACTCAGACTCTTGCTGTCTATAGGTTGTGGTCACTTTGGTCTACATATTCCCCACTACTAGGTGTCTCAGCTAAAGTCACCCTCATAGACACCATAGAGCCTCCCCCATCCCAGGTCTCTGGTACATCCTAGAGATGCCCCCATTACCACTCTACCTCCCTTGCCAATTTCTGTTCATTTTCCTGGTCCTCTCTCTTTGGGTCTACTCATATTAGATCCATTCCCCAATCTTCTGTTGTCATCCTCTCTCCCAATCAGTTCCCTCACTCCATCCACTTAAGATAACTATTTTATTTTTCCTTCTGAGTGAGATTCACACCCCACACCTGACCCTACTTCTTATTTAGCTTCTTTGGATGTGTGGATTGTAGCATGAGTATCCTTTTTTTAATGGCTACTATCCAATTATAAGTGAGCACATACAATGTATGTTCTTTTGGGGTTGAGTTACCTCACACAGGATGATATTTTCTAGCTTTATCCATTTCCCTGCAAATTTCATGATGTCCCTGTTTTAGTAGTTGTGTAGTGTTCAATTGTGTAAATGTATCACATTTTCTGTATCCATTCTTCATTTGAGGGGCATCTGGGTTGCTTCTAGTTTCTGGATATTACAAATAAAGCTGATATAAACATAGTGGAGGAAGTGTTCTTGTGGTACAGTAGAACGTCTTCTTGGTGTATGCTGGGTCTTGAGGTAGAACTAGTCCCAATTTTCTGAGAAACTTCCAAATTGATTTCCTGGGTGGTTGTACAAGTATGCCCATACACCAGCAATGGAACAACATTTGCCTTGCTCCATATCTTCGCTATCATGTGTTGTTACTTGACTTTTTGATCTTAGCCATTCTTATGCATGAAAGATGGAATCTCAGAGTCACTTTTGATTTGCTTTTCCCTGATGATTATGGATATGGAAGATTTCTTTAAGTGTTTCTTCGCCATTAGAATCTTCTGTTCAGAATTCTCTGTTTAGCTCTGCATACTGTTTTGTAAAAATTCATTTATTTGGTTTGTTGTCATCTAACTTCTTGAGTTCTTTATATAGTTTGGATATTAGCCCTTTGGATATTAGTCAGATATAGAATTAGTCAAAATCTTTTCCCAATCTGTAGATTATCATTTTCTCCTTTTAACAGTGTCCTTTGCATTCCTTAAGATTTTCAGGTTCAAGAGGTTCCATTTATCAATTGTTGATCTTGGAGCCTGAGCCATTGGCTTTCTGTTCAAGAAACTGTGTCCTGTACCTATGCATTCAAGGCTATTTTCCATTTTCTTGTCTCTTAGATTTAGTGTATCTGCTTTTATGTTGAGATCCTTGATCCACTTGGACTTGAATTTTATACAAGGTGATAAATATGGATCTACTGGCATTTTTCTACCACCTGACATCCAGTTTTGTCAAGTATAGGCTTTTGTCGTAAGATTTGATGATTTTTTTGAATTCCCTCAGTTTGTGTTGTTATGTCTCCAGTTTCATTTCTAATTTTGTTAATTTGGATACTGTCTCTGTGCCCTTTAGTTAGTTTGGCTAAGGGTTTATCTATCTTGTTGATTTTCTCAAAGAACAAGCTCTTGGTTTTGTTGATTCTTTGTACTGTTCTCTTTCTTTCTAATTGATTAATTTCAACTCTAAGTTTGTCTATTTCCTGCCATCTACTCCTCTGTGTGTGTTTGCTTCTTTCTGTTCAAGAGCTTTCAGGTGTGCTGTTAAGTTGCTTACATGGGATCTCTCCAATTTCTTCAAGAGGGCCCTTAGTGCTATGAATTGTCCTCTTAGCACTGCTTTCATTGTGTCCCTTAAGTTTGGGTATGTTTTGTCTTCATTTTCACTGAATTCTAGAATGTCTTTGACTTTTTCCTTTTTTCTTCCCTGACAAATTTTTCATTAAGCAGAGAGTTGTTCAGTTCCCATGAGTATATGGGCTTTTTGTTGTTTTTGTTGTTATTCAAGTCTAGCCTTAGTCCATGGTGGTCTGATAGAATGCAGGGGATAGTTCCAAACTTCTTATACCTGTTGAGTCTTGTTTTGTGTCCAAGTATGTGGTCAGTTTTGGAGTAAGTTCTGTGAAGTGTTGAGAATTAGGTATATTCTTTTGTTTTGGGTGAAATGTTCTATAGATATCTGTTAAATCCATTTGGTTCATAACTTCTTTTAGTTTCATTATATCTCTATTTAATTTCTGTTTTAATGATCTGCCCATTGCTGAGAGTGGGGTGTTGAAGTCTCCCACTATTATTGTGTGAGTTTTAATTTGTGGTTTGAGAAGTAATAAAGTTTCTGTTATGAATGTGGTTGTCCTTCAATTTAGAGCATAGATGTTCAGAATTGGCACTTTCTCTTAGTGAATTTTTCTTTTGATGAGTATGAAATGTCCCTCCCAATGCCTTTGGATCACTTTTGGTTGAAAGTATATGTTATTGGATATTAGAATGGCTACTCTTGGTTCTTCCTCCAGACCATTTGCTTGGAAAACTTTTTCTAGTCCTTTACCCTGAGGTAGTGTCTTTGTTACTTAGATGTGTTTCTTGTATGCAGTA